GTGTGAGTCTGTGTGTGTTTGTGTGTGTCTTTCCTTGAGAAAGAATCTGAACCACACTTCTTGAGCCTGTCCTCGCTGGAGCCCGATAATAACTACAGGGACTGCTCTAGATGAATTTGCCGTCTCGTACCGCGGAATTTCATTCACAAGACGGGTGATTTTTAAACCCGGTGTCAATCAGTAGAGAGCAGAGAGGGAGGGGGAAAGGGGGTCATATGGTTTCCCCGTCTTTCCTCTTCGACGTGCGTGAAGCGGAGGCGCACCTGAGAGAGTGTCTGCTCCCCTTTTCTTTACTGAACCCCAATTTGGGTGCTGTTGCTGCTGCTGCTGCTCGGCTGAAGCTGCACACACTTTATACAGACTGGACCAGTGGACTGTAAAAGCAGAGAGAGAGAGAGAGAGAGAGAGAGAGAGAGGGGTGAGCCATACAGAGGGTGAGGAGAGAGAGAGTGTGTGTGTGTGTGAAACAGAAACTGGATGGATTCCTCTCTTCCTCTGGCACTCCACAGGCGCTCATTCATTTATTTAAGCCCGACCGACGACAGGATGCCAAGCGCAGACTCCAGCGGCAGAGCTCGGTCAGTATAACATCCCCGGCTCTCAGTCTGTCTCTCACTCTTTCACTGTCTGTCTCTTTCTGTTCGTAGTTCTCTTTCAGACACATGCCATAAGCAGGTAAAGAACACATACTCATGCGCTCTTCCTTTTTTAAATGCAGGCACAGACTTCCCAACAGAGGACAGGAGTGAGACGTCCTCCGCCGCACCGGCCTCGGTCGCGCTCTCACCTGCGCAACATCCGTGCGGGGACCCGACTTTGACGCCCTCCGGGACACCGCAGACACCCAGGAGCCGACGCAGAGGAGCCCGCCGTACAGTATATGGAGCCAAAGCCCCGTGAGGCCCCTGGGATGGCGTGCAGCGCGTGTTACTACCTGGTTATCAGCTCCACACACCTGAGCAATGGACACTTTCGGCGCGTCAAGGGAGTCTTCAGAGGACCGCTGTGTCCAACCGCAACCAGTGATTCACCGGTAGGACAACATTCAGTTCCTAGATTTTCCTTGGTGTGTGTGTCTTTGTGGTTTTATTTTTTGAATACATAGTTTGAGTCCTTGAGCTTGTAAGCTTGAGCTTTTTAGACACTTTTCTTAAGGCTAGTTCATTATAAGGGATAAGGAAAATAATATTGTCATAGGAAGTTCCTCAAAAGTATTGGAGGACAAAAAAGTGTGTTTGTAAGTGTGCAAACAGCAAGAAAACAATAGACCCAATGGCACTGTCATCTACTGAGGAGGTGGATGACAGAGGTAGATATATATTTTTTTTTTTTTACAAGAGATTATCTTTTCCTGAGCCACAAAAGAAGGAGTTTTTTTTTCTTGGTAGAGGACAGTAGATGTGAATATTTTAAACTGAGGAGAAATTGGGTATCCAAGCATGAAGCCCTTGTCCCTCCATGCCTCCTTCTCCCTCTCACGGCTATGGGAATTAAACGAATCAAATTACATTAGTGCTTTCAGGAGGAGATGAGTTGCCCAGCTGAAAATAGCACTAATTACCTGGGGAGTATTTGTTAGGTATGTGTGTGTTGGTCTATGTGTGTGTGTGTGTGTGTGTGTGTGTGACCTGCTCAGCCTAGTAGGGTAACTCCCTGACCTTTCCCTGGTGCCCGTGGTTCCTTTGAGCCACCAAACTGGCATTTAGTTGCAAACCGGCTCTCAGTCTGTGTGTACTTACTGGCTGTGTGTGTGTGTCTATGTGTGTGTTTTGTGTGTGCGTGTGTGTGTGTGTGTGTGTGTGTGTGTGTGCACTTGCTGAGATAAAGAAAGAGTGTGTGACAGAGAGCGAGAAAGACAGAGAGAAGCAAAGAAAATGACAGTACATGTAAATATGTACATGATATTTTGGACTGTGTGAATTAGTGTGTGTGTGTTGTAGATTCAGGAGTGGCTCTGAGGGTCTCTGGTAATCACACATTATTCATGAGCTCTTAATGTGAGACGAGACAAACTGGCGGAGCTGATGACACGTTTGATGAGAAAGGAGGAAAGGAGCAGCTGGTATGTGTGTGTCTGTGTGTGTGTGTGTGTGCGTGCGTGTGTGTGTTCGTACTCAAGTCATTACCAGTCTGTCATGTTCAGCCCGCGCTCACTATGTGATGGGAATGAGCGAGCAGTGTTGAGTAGACATAGTCGGACTAGCAGAGATGCTGCAAAGAGTCATATTAACAAATTTACTTGTAAACTTCTGCACATGCTCAAATAGACTCACTCTCTCACACACACACACACAGACACAGACACCTAGACACACACACACACACACAGACATTATTCCCAGATGGGCATAAAGACCACCAGTAAATGAGGTAATTAGTGTACACAGCCTGTACATATATATTATATGCATATATCTCAATTTCTACAAATTAGGGCTTCTCTTTTAAATTTGATAAATTGAATCATCTGTCTCAGAACTCATTCATCTCCTTGTAGAATCATCAAATGCTCATTTTTTATCGCCCCTGCATCAAGTTTAGTCTTGTCTCAGAAACAAGTCTAATTTCTCACAAAGTCTAATTTGGACGCACTTGACTAACTATATTAGGCATATCTACATTTTTAGACTGATGAATTTGCTAATTTTTCAGGCGGAAGAGTTTCTGTTCATTTTAACAAATTAATTTGAAGAGGCTTGACACTTGTTTGAGATGGGTAATCCATTACAGTGTACGCCATCTTTTTGTCAAAAGTTGGCTTCAAATGTTTAAATGATTAGTCAGTTGATTAATGTTTTGATTGACAGGAAATCCATAATTAAACAATTATAAACTCAATATCTATGAGGTTTGGACTGTTGGTCGGACAAATCGAGCAATTTGAAGATCTTACCCAATTGGGAAATTGTGAGGGATATTTTTGACAACCTTTGTCACTTTATAGACAAAACAATGAATTAATCATTTAACAAAATTATAAGCAGACTAACTGATAATGATTGACAGTTGCAGCCTTATGCTTAGGGTTGTTCAGTTCAGTTGTTCAGTTGTTCTTTGATTTTATATTTATAGATTTAAATCAGGAAACTTTTAACTTTCTTCTATATTTTATGTAGACAAACCACTTTTAAGACACAGAGAGCAATTTGGCATATTCTGTTTATATTCCCCAAACTTAGGTATCTGAAAAAAATATCGTTTTAGTATCAGTACCAAAACTCGTGTACCGTATTGGCAGAATTTTTTGATGGTTTTTGGCTTGTACAGTAGTAAGGATGTTACAAGCTGAAACTCTTTGAAAATCCTTCCTTGCTAGTGCACTGTCCAAGTGCTGTAAAATACTGTAACACTGCATTTACAAATCTAAATCCATGTTATCTCAGCTCTAGTTTTGGAGGTTTTTTTTAGAGCAGAAATCCTAACTTTAAGTGGGAAAAACACAGTGTTGCTAATAATATTAATGAAGGCTCCATTCTATTGAAGTGTCCCATTAAGCCGTGACAGCGAGCCAGCATGATCAATACCAGGACCCTGAAACTGAAGCAGCTAAATGGAATTTCACCATCATTCATTTTATGTTACTTACACCTGTGGTTTACCTATTGTGACATGTCAAGAGGACAATGATTACAAGTAATTTAATTGCCATATTGCACAGTCAAATCAGATCTGATATTGAAATATATGTACAGTTGTAATTTTTATCTATAACCCTTCAAATATCATCAAGAAATTTTAAAAAAAGAAATATCATCAAAGGAAACTATTCAACAAACAATATTAACATCAGTGATTCAAGATTTTATCCTTCTGAAGTGCCCCTGAACAAAATATTAAATCCACAATAGATTCAGGGTCTTACCAGGCTCCACTATAGCTGACCAACATGAGGCAAGTAAAAATAGAAGTTCACATTATGTTGAATACATATTATTTTGTCCAAGCTGCAGGCTTACAGAAATAGGTGTCATTCACAATTCATCATTTATTTCCACTGCTAATGTAGATAAATCTACACGTGGAAAGTTTTTGGTTTTGGAAAATGCTGGCTAAGTAGGTATGGAAGGTCAAAAAATAAAAAAAGATGTTGTTTCACATTTATCCATATTAGTTTAAACATGGCCCAATTTATGGGCCTGTCAACATGATAAACAGGCAACGCTAGTGGTCAAGTAGTTCAAAAGTGTCCTCTTGTGTTAGGTGAAACAGTCCTTCTCCATGAGTGTGTGTCCTTCAGCAAAGAGCTGGTGAGTTTAACACACCTCTTCAAGACATGCTGAGCAGCATCTTTCACTCCTGTCTGTCTTATTGTAGGTGAAGCAGTGCCAACCAGCACAACAGCTAGATGCTCTTTGATTTAGCTTAGATCAGTGGAGTACAAAGGATATTACAACTGGGATTTGTCAGGGGTAACTTATTGTGTCTTCACTTTGATAAGGCATTGCAGCATTAAGAAAACACATGATGCCACCCCCCCTCTTCCTCTACAACAAATCCTCTCGTGTTTCTTGTGCTTTGTTGTTTGGTTAGCTTCCCTGTGGAGTGCTGCGGTATGTTTAGATTAGGATTTTGCTCATTACTACTTTATCATCACTAATTAGTCATTGTGATAGGTCTCTCGGACGTGTCTAAATTTTGGTTCCCGTATGTATATTAGTGCTTAATCGCCAGTGGTGAGTCATTCTTCTCTCATTAACACTTCAAAGGTTTTTTCATTCTTAGTGTCAGAATAGAGGGACAACAGGACGAGAGTTGTAGCAATCGAAAGGTGTGTGCAGAGAGGACAGATACAGCCCCAATGAATTTCTCACTTCAGACAGATCCAAACTGATACATGCCTACCATTTATTTTGCTGTCGCTTGTCCGAAAAACCCTCCAGTTCTGTTCCTTCCGTCTCCCCAATTCCCTTTACAAACCCTCCCTCTGTAGAACATTATAGCTTTGTGTGTGTGCATACTTAGCTGCTCATCTGCTGAAGACCACTTTGATGTATATTTCACTGCCGTTGCAGAAAACAGATGAATCGTCTGCTATACAGCGCAGTGTCAAAGTGAGTGCAAATGTGCCTGTGTGTGTGTATGTGTGTGTGTGAATCTGCGTTTGCACCCTCGTGTCTTCATTGATTCCGCGGGGAGCTGAACAGTGTTTATGTAAATTAGGTGGCATTTAAACATATGCCCCGAACAATTATCTTGAAACAAGTGTTTAGCTGCACAAAAACACGGCCATGTTCAGAGTGAGTCAAGTACTTAGCTACAAATATTAAGCCATCATGAGGGGACAGAGGTGAGATGAGCCAACTGGTTTGCCATTTGGCGTGCCAGTTTGCTCGTGGCTGTAAACACGATACCCAGGAAATCTCTGTGCACTTTTAATGATGATCATAATAATAAGTGATACAGGCTCAGTATCAAAGAACTCCCAGGGGATGATCAAGCTGGTAATAGCATCTTGACATTTATGAAGTTCGACAAATGTCAGAAACAAAGAGATTAGTTAAATGTGAGTTTAAGATAAAAAGGTGTTTGCGATATAAGCCTAATTAAAACAGCTATGGAGTTGTTGAGTGTTATGTCATCAGAAGCCATTTCAGAGTCAAGGTTCCTAATGCTGCAGTCACTCACATTCATAAAGTGTAATGTTAATGCAGACAAACGCACACATACACACACTCCAACTCAGCCATCAGGCCCTAGTGGAGCAGTTTGAGAGTGAGCAGGTGAGTGTTGCTGAATACTAAAGTCCTGTATGACTGGACCATTCCTGCTGACCGCTGCAAAGTGCTCCCACTGATCACCGCTAATGTCCTCCATCACAGTTTACACTCAACACTCCGGAGAGAGTGTGCATGTGCGAGTGTGTGTTGGGGAGAAAGGTGGATAATTGGGACAGATGGGTGAGATAGGATGAAGAGAAAGAGGAGGGGAGAGGGGGAGAGCGAGACAGTTGGCATCGATTTTAACACTCTCTCAAGCCTTTATTGACATTTCATTTAGCTAATGAATTCATTAGTGCTTCATAGCATAATAACCTCCACTTGATAACCAGGATGGTTCCCTGGAGGTCTTTACTCTGTTGCCTCAGTATTTTCTGACTTTTCTAAACTCATTCTCAGCATTCTTTGATTTTTGTCCCCCCCCTCCACTTCTGTTTCTTTTTCTTTTAAAATGCAAGTTTCCTGCCTGTTTGTTTCTGCTGCATTGTGTAACTTGTAAATGAACCCATTGTTTGAGGTGACATAACCTGCCAGTCTCTCAACAAACACGCAGCACGCCCTCAGGAATGATGGAGGAAAAAGAGGGACGCGCAAGATATACAAGCATATTCATCTCTACCTATGTATAGGTGTCTTTGTGCCTCTTCTGGAGTGTTCTTGGATGGCTTTGTGATGCCTGTTCACCTCTAAGATTGAGATGATCTTTATTCAATTTACTGACAACTGACTCATTCTTCATGAGTGTCTCTTTGACCCGCTGCTTACTGGAAACATAAGCAGGCACCCAAACACACACACACACACACACACACATACACACCCAAACCCTGACTTGAATGCATGAACCATTTCAACTTATACAAAAACAATTTTCCAATCGCATAAAGGATGTTTCACCTAGAGGACTTATCTTTACACGCATTTACAACCCTCCATTTGAAATAAAAAAAACTCTTTCAGGTTAAGATGCTGGTTTATGAATTGAAAGCATTTATTTATCCGTGTTTGGGTCTGATGCCTGAGAGGTAAAATCAGTTTGTGGCAGCTGTATGGGTGTCAGTTGGGCCGTGCTGACCTACGTGAGCTCTGTGTAGGTGTGTGTGAGCTCGTTTGGAGGGTATCGTGTGGGCTGAGAGCATTTGGTAATAGTTTGTCTGTTATTACAAGAATAGAGAGGGCCGCTTCTGTTGATTTAACATTTTGATCACGAAGTGTGCAAACATCTTTAAAGTGCACATTCTGGTATTAGATGTATGTTGTGAGTGACACACAAGTTATCATACATGCATGCACACACACGGGCACAACAGATGGCCAACCTCTCATTTTGTATATTACCTTGGGACAGATGTTTGTCTGTGTGGTCATTAGTGATCGCAGCATCAGATAATCACCTGGAGACACACCAGCACATAAACACACACACTCACATACAATTAGTGAGTGTTTGATAATTACAGGATGTTTGATGAACCATCTGGAGCACCAGCTTAGGTAGAAACTGAAAGACACGCTCTAAACAAAATCATACGCACAAAAACCTCAAATCATAGTAATCAAACGAGTATCATTGCCCAAGTCCTGAAAAATTAAAATGAGGATAGCAAGACGACAGGTGAGAGATAAAGGGATGAAAGTGTTTTTGTTTCACAGTCATTAGGATGTCATGTTTCATTCAGGGTTTGATCTTGTCCTCTTTTATTCATCTGGACTCTGCAACCTCTGTCTCTGCCTTTTTCCTTTTTAAAAAAATATTATTTGCCACTGCCTTCTGTCTCTTCCTCGATCCGTTTCTCTAACCAATAGCTTTGCTCTTATTCCCCCCTCCCTGACACCCCTCTCATCTCCCTCTCCTATTGCTTTTCGTCTCATGTCTCCAGACCATTCATTTTTAAGCAGGTCAGGGTTCAACTGTTTAGGCCTTTGGATCTTAGTGTGTGGGATATTGTGTTTGTGTGCATATGTGTGCACAGTATGCCTATATGGGAGTTTGTGCGTAGGCGATGAGAGTAATATTGCAGTAGCAATATTGCTGAAAAATCCTTGAAGGAATGAAAGAAAAGGGATGGGCTTTATTTGGTGGTCAGTATTTCTGTTCTTCAATAACCTCCATTTTACTCTCTGAGTCTGCTTCTTATTCTGCTGCTCTACCCAGCAGCTCTCACGTAAAAAGATGTGGGGATACAGTTATAGCTCCATTAACTCAGCGTGCATATGTGCCTCTGTGCACATGTGGGTGTGCATGTTAGACATATTTGCACCTGTGTGCTTGAATGCCTCTGCATGTGTGTGTGTGTGTGTCCACCACCGACACACTAGGCCCAGGTTAAGAGCAAAGCAGACAAATTAATTATCTCTTCTCTGGAGGAGAAATGACTCACGGTAAGAGAAGCTGTGAACTAGCACCTCCTGGTTGAGCAGAAGCCCAAGAATCACTCCCA